TTTATATTTTTTCTGCACAAAACAACCATCTTGATTTGTGCAGAAACAGCACAGGAAATAAAGAGTAATAGTGTCCCAGTACTCTGACAGGAACCAAGTTCTAAAGCCAGTCTCCAAAGAATCCTGAAGGCTAATCCAACAACTAGCACATTGCAATTACTTGTATTTGAAGTTGCAAAGGCAGGGAAGGGCAAGTATAACTACACACTGCCTTTCACAAGGCTTGTGTGGAGGGCCAAAGGAAATATGATGCTTAGAATTTAATTCTTCCATGATTCTCAGTTTTACTAACCAAAACTGATTGTGGTCTTCCATTCGTTTTTTCCCCGTTCCAAGGCTAATGACCAGGAATGGGGGGGGCGAGGTAAGCAACCAGTAAGAGATGAGGGGTGGGACATGGGGGGCTGTCAGCAACTGTGTAATGTCACTTCCAGGAAAACTCCCAAAGTCGCATCTTTCTGTCAGGTTCCCCAATCAAACACTCAACAACGTTCCTAGATAAAGTCCAGTTTATTGAGGTCAGTACTGGTGGTACCATGAATTCTTTTCTTTTCTTTTTTTTTGAAAAACAATTTTATTAGGATACATTTCATAATTCAAACATACATCATTTTACCCACTAACATATATCCTTTTCTCCTAATTTACCCACCCCTTCTGACTTCCCACAGTGCTCCAACCTCCAGCCCACGTTTTATAATCCCCTCTTTTCTCCCTTACTCGTCTATCAACTTCTACAGGTAACATATCTTTTAACATTTGTTCTTATACATTTAGACATATTCTAAATCTCCTTCTTTTTTCAATAGTTATCAAAGCAAAGTAAGTTGTTTTTTACATCCCAATATTTCTCTAGATATTCTTTAAAGTCTTTCCAATCCGCAAAGAATTCTTCTGCTTCTAAATTCTTCAGTTTTTTCGTCATTTTATCCATTTCTGCCATAAAAAGTAACTTTTTTAACCACTCCCAAATTTCGGGAGTTCTTTCCTGTTTCCAGCATTGAGCATAAGTCATTCTAGCAGTTGTGATCATATACCACATCAAAGTCCGTTTTGCAATGTTAACTTCTTCCATTTTAAGCCCCAAAATTCTTGAGTCAGGATTAACCAAAAGCAAAATGGTGGTTACAGATATACCCCCTTTAAACCAGACCCCCTGATATCACGAACCCAATAAGCAAGCACCTACAAGCGTGGGTAAAAAGTGGCAGTTAGATTCCCAGCGGGAAAAGCGGACGAGGGAGAGCCAAGCCTTCAAGGCCACTAGGCAGATAGCAAAGGCAGCAGAGATGCGGGGGTGGAGGAAGGTGCCGGAGAGGATGGAGGAACACAGAGGCCAGGCACCCCCTCCCACATTCCAAGGCATGGCAGCTTCAGCTGACACTTTCTAGGAATCACCAGAAACACTATAGTAAATCCATAAAGATAAAATATTAATTAAAAAAAAGTAAATCTATGAAGTTTCCTGTAATTACTAGACAGGATGCTGCTTCTGGGTTTTTTTTGCCAGAAGTGACATCACCCTATTGCCTGAGGGCCATTTTTTTTTTTAATTCTCCCACTGCCACTCTGAGCGGCAGTAGGAAACGAGAGGTGAGGGGATGCCCCACCGGGGGCTTGGCAACCCTGGGTGGTGGTGAAACTGAACATAGGGTGGAAGGGGTGAATTCCCCTCTCTGTACCACAGAGCTGATCTGAAATGGCGTCCCACATGGCATCTACTAGCCTTTTAAAAATGCTGGGAAGATCCATTGTGCCCTCTAGCTCTTTCTTAGAACAAACTGCGGAGTGGAAAGAATAAGAGCTCATGCTTGAAAAAAACATTTTTGGAGTGCAATGGAAAGCCAATGAAGCCAAAATCAGAAGAGCATTTTTGTTTCAAAGGAATGTAAATAACACAAGGCCCTTTGTTGATGAGAAAGAAACCCTGCTGGACCCTTTACTGGGAATTAATAACTCAGTCAAGGATATATCCCTTGTTCAGCAAACTGTTCAGCAACAATATCAGTATAGTAATAGGGAAAAATCTGAGTAACATACATTTAAATAAAGATCTGAGCAGGGGCTGCACTAGCCAAATCAGGCAATCCAAGACTGCTGAGCAGAGGTCATTTTGGGGGGGAACGCGGGGGAACACAGTTCCCCCGGGTGAGGTGCAGGGGGCGGGGCACATGACGAAGCCCCGCCCCCTGCTTCCGGCCGCCCCGCTTCCAGCCCTCATTCAGCCAGGAGGAGGCAGGAGATGAGGGAGGGTAAGTTGCTTCCTCCCCGCCTCTCCCCACCCCTGCCTGCCTGGGGCCAGTGAGGGCCTTGGCGGGGCTTCTTCGCACTCCCGCTGGCCTTGCAGGGCCACTGCCGGGTCCCTGATGTCAGGGGGTGTGGCATATGCTAATGAGTTATGCTAATGAGTTCCCCTAGCTCTTTTTCTACGAAATGACCCCTGCTGCTGAGATATATATGAGCTATCCCTAGTGGTTTCTTCCACTTTCATGTGGTTCCTTTGAGATACAAAGGGGAGGGGTATGCAACTTTTTTTTGGCTGAAGTGCCAAAAAATACAGAAATCTGGGAGCCAAGCAAGATGGGCTGATGTGCTGCTGTTGATAAGCATGACAGGTGTTGCCTACCCGTGACCGAACTGTCCATCTAATAGTCAGGGCAGACTGAACATCTGTTTATCTACATCTGCATCCTGCCTTTTCAGAGAATCTACTTGAGGTGGCTCACAAAATAAAATACAAAATCATAAAATGTCAAAATAATTAAAATTAACTAACCATTACAAACCCAGCCAAAGCATAAAGCATTCCGCAGCCTAAAATGATCCTCTTAAAACAGTCCTCAGGCTAGAAGCAGACTGTGAAAACAATTCAAAGAGATCAAACCCTTTAATAAAAAGCTTGGGAAAAATGGTTTGGCCTGGCATCGAAAAGGTACTAAGGTAGGCACCAGGTGAACCTCAAGAGGAAGGGCATTCTGCAGGAAAGGTACCATCACTGAAAAAGCCCTGTCACTGGTCATCACCCACCTCACCTCTGAAAGTAGGAGTACAAAGCAGGGCTTAAGAAAAAGGCTCTAAACTGGCAGGGTACAGGAGGTGGTGATCCTTCAAGTATCCCAGCACCAACCCATGCAGGGCCTTAAAGGTAATTCTGCCTGGAAACAAATGTGTAGCTGGTGCAAATCTTTCAGCACAGGTGCTGTGATGTATGAACAGAAACAAAGACATTTAGTGCAATTCTGCTTGTGGAAAAACTTGTGCAACTTCCAGCACTTTCTTTCCTTTATCTTATAGCACCCATCATTGCATGCACAATGTCTTGCATAAGTGCAAAAATGACTTGGGATACACCATGTTTAACTCAGCACAAGGGACTAGTGTGTTTTCCCCCACACATCCGATTGTGCAAGGACTCAAGCGCATGAAGAAATTTTCCAGTGGATCCAGGGGCCCCTGTAAGGTAAAGGTAAAGGTTCCCTTGCTCGAAAGCCAGTCGAATCCGACTCTAGGGTTGCGGTGCTCATCTCCGTTACAAAGCCGAAGAGCCAGCGCTGTCCGAAGACGTTTCCGTGGTCATGTGGCCGGCATGACTAAACACCAAGGCGCACGGAACGCTGTTACCTTCCCACCGAAGTGGTCCCTATTTATCTACTTGCAATTTCTTGCTTTCGAACTGCTAGGTTGACAGGAGCTGGAACTAGAGACAGGAGCTCACCCTGTCTTGCGGCACCCGGGTCTTGAACCACTGAACTACTGACCTTCCACAGCCTGCAGTTCAGCGTCTTAACCACTTGAGCCACCGCAGCTGTACCTGGCTCCAAATTACAGCTATTTGAAGTTTTAAAACAGTCATCAAGGGCAGGTCCACTAGAATGCATTGCAGTAATCTAATTTGGATGTATCTAGAGCATGAATCATCCTGGGGCAGACTGCACTATTTTCAGAATGGCAGTACCTTGAACATGTAATTATATGTTTCATTATGCTTGGATCTACCTTGATCTGCCAGGAAGACTTTCCATAGAAGTAACTTGCAAGTTCTGTGCTCAGAATTCCCAGACACACAGGGTCTAATTTGGATCAGTACCACAGCATGTGAGGAGTGGGGACTTATGTCATCCCTTCCATGCCATTTCTCCAGCAACGCCAGGATGCCTCTATATTTGCCCCACTGGGGAAATCTAAATGTAAGCATATCCAGGCTCTTCTCCTGACTTTTGTTGTAGTGCCACCCCCTGCACCCAGGAACCTTGAGGCTTCACACTTTTTCATCAGGCTCCTCTTTGTTTGGCAATCCTAAGAACCCTATGAATAAAACTCTATACGATAGAACAAATTTAGAGTCCAGTGGCACCTTTAAGACTAACAAAGGTTTATTCAAGGTATGAGCTTTCATGTGCATGCACTTTTTAAAATACATTGGAAGGAAGGTAAGATTCAAACTTATAGCCGGGCTGAACAGCAAATTAACACGTAACATGATGTTTTAAGATCTGCGAAGACAAAACTAAATAACAAGCTACGGTTATAAGGTCAACAGTTGTAAAGCAATAAATATGTCAAAATGAGACTGAGACTCTCCATTCACTCTTCTCAGGCGTGGAGGTCGCTCTATATGATGTAACTTTAGTAATGTAATAGATTTTCCTTTCTTGTAAGCTCAAAGCATTCTTTGTATGTTACACTTTTTGGTGATAGGAGTTGCCAGTCGTACCTGCCCTGCTTGAACGCAGCCTGGCTTTTTTTAAAAGTATGCAAATACATATCCTCCAGCAAATACCCACCGAGCGACCGCTGGACGCGCAGGCGGAATCAGATGAAACGGTTAAGAGATCGATCGCTCTGTGTTCCGCTCTCTGCCCTTAACAGGCAGGATCGATAGGCTGGCGCTCTAGGACGGGCTTATTCTCCAAATGAGAAGAAGGATTGGTTGTTCGGCGTTCCTCTCCAGGCTGCCCATCGATTCGCTCCAGGAGCGACCACGTTCCTCAGTAGCGCAAGCGTGGAAGCCCTTAAGAGAAGGAGGAGGGTCTTCGCCATTGGTTTCTTGTCACAGTGTTTGGGCTTGAGGTAACAGGTAGGAAAGGGCGGGTTCTGAGGCGGGAAGGGGTTTCACTGGGAGGCGAAGCCCTCCGCCTGCCTCGTGAGGGTGCCGGTTGTTTCTCTGCTCTGATTGGGGAGAGGATGACTCAGTCATCTTCAGATTTCCAACATGAAAGGGGGCTTCGTCCATCTAACTTCTCCAGGGCATCCCAGATGCCTCGCTTGCTTTTGGGATAGGGAGTTGCACTTTCTGGGCTGTGCTAACAGAGCTTACGTTTCTGCTTGGTCTGATGACAGTTTCTGTTTTTAGTTGTTTGAATAAAAGGGGGGTTAGACTAGATGACCCTGGAGGCCCCTTCCATCTCTGATTCTGTGTTTCTCTGTGAATTTATGGTCTGCCCTATTCCAGAGGCTTTTAAGGCTGAAATCCTAAACACATTTATTTGTAAATCTGTCCCGTTGAGCTCTGGGGGTCTGGCTTCAGAATAAATAATTTTAAGTTTTCGGTTTTAGGCAGGGGAATAATAAACCAAAAACTAAATAGGAAGTAATAAATAACTCCAGAGTGGTAGCAGGTTAATGGTACTGGCATGACTACTCACATATGCTAGAACATATTCCTCAGCTCTTGTCCCCAAAAGCTTTTACTCTACTTGAGGTACAACAATGGCAGACTTACCATCTGGACCCATGTGAAGGAAGTCCATGAGAACTTACATAAGAACTTGAAACAGCTTTAACTTCACTTGAGCCTAGATCAGTCCATGCAATAGGTTCATTTTTTGGACACTGCTGTGCAGGTTCACATGGGCACATAAGCACCATGTATACTAGATACCCACTACACAGACCTACATGTTTCCAGTTACCAACCAGAGCACACTGTGCAATCCATTGTTTTCCTGCCAAGCTCTAAAATCAGCTGGATTTACTTCAGTTCCTTGGACAGGGATAATCACCTGAAGGATTCATAGTCTTAAAACTATGAATACCCACCCATGAAGTAAAGAAATGGATTAACAAGGTTAATAGCCATAGGTAGCCAGAAATAACCTACTACAAGGCTGTGTCATCTGTAACACCCAGCTCAAACCCCTCAAATGTATCACGGTCCTTTCTTGGGTAGAGCTGTCTTTTCCTGGCTTAGAACCGTCCTTTTAATCTAAAACAGCTACTCATCAGCAATAATTAGTCACTTAACAGAAGCGGGTACCCTGGGACCAGATCCTACACCAAAGCAGATTGCAGCTCTGTCACCATGCTGACTTGTTATTACGGTACCTGATAATATCAGCCATACCATCAGGAGGTCATTCACCTGCTCATCCTCCAACATAATGGATACCATAAACTTTCAACAATGCCCTTCTGTCTGCATAAGATGAAGGTCACTCTCTATGAAAAAAGAATAAATGGATATAATACTATGTCAACAGTGGCAACATTTTCACTGCAGAAGGATATTTCAGTCTATCATAACACTACTTCAGACCTGAAAGTTGCAGTTGTTCAATAAAAGGAGATTCCAGCATGAAACAATTGAGTTTAGAGTTCATCAGGAGAGCTGACATTATTGCATTAGGACTATGACAGTGTATTCCCATCAAGTTATTGCTTTTCAGTTAGTATAGCATGTCTGTGAAGACTGTGTTACCACTTATTACTGCTGTTGTGAATGGTTACTGTTCTTATCTATAATTAATCCTTGCATAGAAATGTCAGGCTGTACCTCTTGAATTTCATTGCCTTATAATGCCACTATTTAAAATTCGTTTTTCTTTATCCAGTTTGTATGTATCTTCCCTTGGCTTTGAGGACATACTTTGTGCATCTGATAAAGTGGCGTAGTCCATAAAACTTACATCACAATATATATGTTACTCTAAGAAGTCTCAGGCTATCTAATATAAAGAAGAGTCTCTGAGCATGTGAAGAATGTCTTTTCTTCAGCACAGACTGACCACATTCTGTCACTTCCCAGTTGATTTGAACTGTTTTTCTAAATATCATTATTGTGCTTCAGGTTTCTCAAATACTGAGTGTAAAAATGAGAGGGACATCTTGTAGTAGCATCGTATTTTCTTTGGGAATGAGAAAATGGTCTCACACCCGGTAAAGAAGGGCTTAGGCTGATATTGTTCATATTGAGTTCAGGGATAGTTGCTTCTAAGAACATTAAAGTCTGACTGTGAATGTATGGAAATTGTTAACTTTCTACTTCCTTCTTCTAAGGAACTTTAGTGGGGAATGACACTGCCTGCTTGCTGATTTTGTTTTTGAATTGTTCTTGGTTTCATCTTTCCAGGTTTTTGCCATGGAGTTCCAGGCAGTGGTGATGGCAGTTGGTGGTGGATCCCGTATGATGGATCTGACCTCAAGCATCCCTAAAGCTCTTCTGCCTGTGGGCAATAAGCCTTTAATATGGTACCCACTCAACTTGCTGGAACAAGTTGGTTTTGAAGGTGAGCAACAGATGTAGCCTGTCAGGCTATGTTCTTGTAGAAAGTTGCCAATTTCTCTAAGCGTTTTTCAACCAGAGTTGAATTGTACATATGGATAGTTTACTTCCATATGAATCTACCTAACCATTGTAATAATCTTCAGAGGTCCTGCTTTGGATGCCCCCAACATCTTGAGGCTAGATGGGTGGCAACCCAAGAAAGGACCTTTTTGGCCATGGGACCAAACTGCAGCATTCCCTCTCCAGGGAGATTCATTTGTGTGTCCCCCCATTGTCTTCCATCAGCAGATGAAGATTTTTTTTTTGTTTTCTTTAGCATTTCCTTATTGATTCTCCTTCCTGTTTGTTTTAATTGATGTTTTACATATATGTATTATTCTTAAAGTGATTTTAAAGTCGTTTTAACTGTTTGGCATCTTGAGGGCCCTAACTGGGTAGAAAAGTGGGATGCAAATGTTTTAAATTTTTAAAAATGTAATCAAATGTCTGCTAGGCCAGTTACTCTAGAGTACTCATATTTTTAATGATTACCTTTCATTTATCTGCTTCATTTATACCCTGCCTTTCTCCCTCATGGGAACCAAAAGTAGCTTACACTGTTTTCTTCATCTGTCCTCCCATCAACACTGTGAGGTAGGTTAGGCTGAGAGGGTGTGTTACTGGCTCAAAGTCACACAGTGAGCTTTTGTGGCAGAGTGATTCATCCAGATCCTAGTCTGACACTCTAACCACTGCACCATGCTGGCTAAGTGGGTTATAGTTTACTTACAGCGTAATCCTAACCAGAGTTGCACCCTTCTAAGTCCACCAAAGTCAATGGGCTTAGAAGCATGTAATTCTGCTTAATATTGTACTGTTAGTGTGTGTTTCACTTAGGGTGCATTGGTTTGAAATTTTCCAGTTACAGTAGTGGTACTCACTCCATGGCTTGGAGAGCCCTGTTCTCAATTATCATCAATCAAAAGAGCCACATTTACTTCCATCTGAATGAAGCTGTCACAGCTCACCTGTTCCTCTGGCAGCAGCCCTTTTATGGTGAGAAGCAATTGCCAGTACTTGCATGAGTGTCTTCTTGTTTTCTGCTCCCCAAACTGGTAACTTTTTAAGGCTGCAAGGAAAGAACCGTGCGTGCAGCTACCATACCTCAGCTCTGTATAAACACAAAGCAGCACTGTGGCATCTTTGTTTCTGCAACAGCAGGTAGCTGCCTGCTGGGGGATTCTTAAAAAGTGATTCACAACAAGCCACTTGCTTCTGGCATGTAGAAATGCCAGAAGGGCAGCTCAAGAATATGACTTTTATTTCTTCCTCCTCTAATTTCACTGATACCAAATATTATTTCTCTCCTGCTTTGTAGGCCTTCTTTCTTTTGTGGTGTGTTTTGGTATTTGTTGGTTTATTTTATTGGTATAGTGTTGTTTTTAATTCATGTTGTTACTTACACAGGGTCCCACGTGTGTGGGAGAAAGGTGGGGTATAATATCACTGTATTTAGTGACAAGTGGGTTTTCTGAAAAATGATTACCTGCCACTTTTCATATTGTTTAATGTCTGTTTTCTGTGGGTAAATGAAAAGGATAAAAGAGAACAAAACCCCTGAGATTCACGCCTTTGCACTTGGGTCAGCCCTGCTCAATTATTGTTCGGACAACCTTCACCCACCTCACAATCCTCCTCTTCCCAGAGAGCTCCATGCAGGCAATTAGGCATGAATGACCTAAACAGCATGTTCCTTGCCTGCTGAGCCACCCCCTAGAACTCTGGATTTTCACACAAAAAACACACATAACTCTAGCTTCTTCCAGGCTTCTACTCCAGGAGAATCTACTCCTTTTGCCAAAGAGCACTGCATACCTTGGTAGGTCATTCTCATCACTGTTGATGACTGGGGAAACCTAATTGTCAGACCATGACAACAGCCAATGCATAATCCTCTTGTGTGCATTAGTGAAGGATTTGGAGGTGAGCTTTGAGTAGGCAATGGCAACTCAAATAGTCCATCTAGAGTGCTTCATTAAGGTTATGTATGTGCAATAGCAAACTCCTCCACCTAGACCTAGGAAGAGAAGCATATCACTGCCAGTTGGAGATGTTCCATGTCGTCCCAGTTCAGAAAAGAGACCATCATTGTGTACAAGCTGGCCTTCAGTGTCTTGTAGTGGGAGTTGAGCAATCTAATATGGGTACTATCTACCACCTGCAAAATCTTCTGTGTATGATTAATGAACTTTTCCCGCAGTTAGTATTAAAGTGGATCATGAGGACACGTTTCCAAGGAGGCAAGCATTCAGGTTTCCCTGCCAACCAGTGGTTAGGGAAGTTGGTGGTACAGTGAGGTTTTGCCCCTGAATCAGCTGCTGCAGAGATTTTGCACAGAAGACTCAGGGGAAGGCGAGACACACCAGGGCTGAATAACTGACTTAAGTCCTAATTTCACAAAGCTAACTGCCAACCTAGCAGTTCGAAAGCAAGAAATTGCAAGTAGATAAATAGGTACCACTTCGGTGGGAAGGTAACAGCGTTCCGTGCGCCTTGGTGTCTAGTCATGCCGGCCACATGACCACGGAAACGTCTTCGGACAGCGCTGGCTCTTCGGCTTTGAAACGGAGATGAGCACCGCAACCCTAGAGTCGGATTCGACTGGCTTTCGAGCAAGGGAACCTTTACCTTTACCTAACTGCCATTAAAATAAATCATGCCTTTCCATTATGGCTTCACTGAGCCTTAGGTATCCTTAAAGTTTTCCCCTTAAAATAACATCTTCATGTTTAGTATCTAGCTGACTTATTAAATTCATGGAATGCCATACTGATCAGTACCATCACTATTTCTTATTGTGCCTTTGCTATCTCTTTCCTCATACTGAATTGTTGTGTCTTTAGGGCAAGATTTTTTTAAATATCAGGTCTCAGTTGCACTAATATGAAAATAAAATTTGTTATAAAATATTTAACTACAGGGAATGTTAACCATATATCTCTTGTACTTTCCGAGTTTTAAAAAATAATTAAAAAGTGAATTATGTAGCTCTTTCGGTATTCATCATTAATAAGAACCTTGGAGACTTGAGCAACTCAGTCAAATTACTAAACTACTGGCAAGGGCTGTAGAGAGCTTCAAAGTATGTACATTCAGTTCAGGTGACAAGCAGACTGATATATAATTTTTTCCATAGTTTTACTTACCCTGTCTCTTCTTTTTCACCTCAGAGGTCATTGTGGTTACCACAAAAGAAGTTCAGAAGATGCTAAACTTGGACACAAAGCTGAAGCTGGATATAGTGTGCATTGCTGATGACGCAGATATGGGAACAGCAGACTCTTTACGGCATATTCATCAGAAAATAAAGGTATAATGTGTTTTTAACAGCTTTTCAAAATACTCATTTTCAGTGTTCCATGATTAATTATCAACAGCATACATATCCATTATATGAAGAAAGAATATGTACATGTAAGTGTTCAATAAGGGGGACCCAAGGAATTCAGTAAGGAGGTTTGATTCCCCACTCCTCCACATGAAGCCAGCTGGGTGACCTCGGGTCAGTCACAGCTCTCTCAGCCCCACCTACCTCACAGGGTGTCTGTTGTGGGGAGAGGAAGGGAAGGTGATTGTAAGCCACTCTGAGACTCCTTTGGGTAGTGAAGGGGTATAAAACCAACTCTTCTTCTTACATAAAGCAAACAGAGTCTGAATTCAAGAACATGAAAAATCATAGTGTTTAAAAGAGGACTGAAGACATCATTATTGTTCTTGAGTGCTGATATCTGATAAATATTTGCCTTCTATCCTGAAACGTATCCAAAGTGTGTCTACTGTCATATACACTCAGGATCAATTACCACATTATCAATTACCGCATTTTTTTGTTTTAAAAAATGTAATCATAGACAGTCTTGTTAATAACTACTTAAAGTACTGGTTAAAATGGTTGTCTCACCCAGTTTTGTGTTATTTCCTAACATGAAATAATTTTATTTCGATGAACAATATTCCTGTGTTGTCTTTATATGTTGCTTTAGCAAGGGTGGACAAAAGCCACCTCCCAATCACCAATATAAGTAACAACCCGCTGTGATGTTTTCCTGTGAAATCTCCAGTGAGATGAGTAGGAGCTATGCAAGAGCGTTATCTGATATAGGACAGGAGATTTGCTGTAATCTCCATCCTGCTTCTGTTAAAATCTGCCACTTTAGGCACCTGTTTCACTTCACCATATAGGAGAGTCACAGCCATGCATCAGTCCATCCAACCCAATCTGACTTCCTCTCAAACAGACATTTTGTAGGACTCAAGATGTTCTGGAGCTGATCCCATGCACTAAATTACAAAGGCTGTTATTCTAAGCAGTGCAAGTGGAGTTGTGCAAGTTCCCTGCCTTCCTCCTTGGATTGCAGCCTTCTGTTCTTTCCAGAATTATACTCTGGAATGGTGTGGAGGTTAACAGTGGGAGCAGAAATAAGCAAACAGTCATTCTTCTGGTGCAAATGAAGTTGTTCTGTTGGAGGAGCTGCATTGATGGAACAGCCATTTCGGATCCAGCCAGGAAGGGCAAAATTCTTGTAAAGTAGCTTTGTTTAGTTTGTTGAATTTATACTTCATCAATATGGCAGGTTACAGCAAAATGACTAACAAACACCAGTAAAGGCAATCTGAAATGTCAGTATAAAAAGTCTAATTAAAATTAAAGTTAGTTCATTTCAAATTTAAAAAATCTATTTTAAAACTGGAGGTAAAATGCCTTCAACTCATTTCTTGGTAACAAACATGCAAATATAATTTGTGTGATCCCTGTTCAAGGTCTGACCAAGAAATGTTGCTGTTTTTGAACATTCTACCTTTCTTTATTAATTTTAGTAGATACAATTAGCATCAGGATTTCATACATGAGAAACTGCAATGTCATCTTTAACATGGGTTTTTGTAATGTTGGGGGTATGATTTGGTACATTTTCCTCCATAGATACTCCACTATCTTATTTGCCATTATTTTGGAATTTACAAAGGTAGATAAGATGGAAGTACATAAAAAAGGAATGCTAGCTTTGAAGTTTAGGACACTTATTGTTACAATAGAGCCTGTCCATGACAGTCACACTTGATGTATAGTTTCCAATTTTAAAGATAAAGAGCAACTGTTTCCTCTGTTCAAAGCAGATTGCTATTTGTGGTTTTTTAGTTATTGGTTCTGGTAGAGTTCTGGTAGAGTTTACAAAGGGGAGTGATCAATCATGTGCTTCTGTTAAAGGGAACAGGTTTGTTTATCATACATTTTTGTAGAGTCATGCTAGACAGAAGATAACAATGACATCCTAATGCATCTGTTTTCCTGATGCTTCTGTGGTGTCTCTCTAGAGAATTTCTTATTTCAGTATTGTTATTTTATATTATTTTTATATAAATATTATTTTTATATATAAAATAAATAAAGCAATTGTGTTTGTATGGGACAACTGAACATATTGAATGAATTGGTTATTCATATCTCTCCATGTCTGTCTCGGTCCTTTCTCTAACTTCCCTTCAGAGGCTTGAAGAGGAACCATTAAGGGGAACAAGTACACTTGTAAAGAGACAAATGGGATGGAGAGAAGGTGTGCTATGTGACTTGTTGGTAATATGATTCTGACAACAACCTCTTGAATATCTTTTCAATCTGTGCAGCAAAGGTAGACACAGGTCACTCTAATTGTGACCCTTTTCAGATGGGACAACCTGAGCAAGTTGCTGCCTGTTATGGATTTTGAAGGCATTATTTAGGAATCTGAATTATATATATATAATATAATATTTTCTATATACTTTGTTTTGCTTGCATGTAAAAATAGTTCACAATTTTTGTCAGTAATTTTGGTTAGGTAGTGGTTTAGGAAAAGGAAGTTTGGAACTCATGAGAGGCAGTGAGGAAGCCATAAGAAGAAATTGGCAATCACACTAAATATATTTATTAAAATCTTTTGGACAAATCACCGTGGCTCAAGGTGATGTACAAAGGCCTGCCCCAAACACTGCAAAGGAGGGGAATTTTGGGAACATGTCTTCCAGTTGCTTAAAGTTTGGGTTGAGGAGGGTTGTGTTTTCTTCTTGTTGCTAGTATTTAAGCTTGAGCATGGTCAGAGGCATGGGGGCTGAAGGGCCCTTAGCCTGTAGCTGGCAGCCCGTGGCATCGCACGAGCCAACCATGTGGATCCAAGACCAGACCAGGATGTGGCTTAGTGTTTGGGGTTTGTGTGTGTGTGTGCTTATTTATTTAAAATAATTTTGTTTATTTAAATGGTATGTTTAGTTAACCTGTCTTTTTATACATTAGGCCCATAAATAAAACAAAATCATAACTAGACTACTCCTCCAGTGCCTAATTCTCCATAATCTTTACAGTGTGATACTAAATAGCATTGCACCCTTCTAAGCTCATTGACGTGAGTACATTTAGAAAGGCGTAACTCTGTTTAGGAATGCACTGGCAGTCACCCACCCAGCACCCTTCTGAATAGGACAACATTGCATCAGTTCCACAATCTACTGTAGAGGGGTCCTTCATGTATGCTTTGGGAGAGTGTTCTGAAGGGCTGGGGCCACTGCTGAGAGAGAACAAACCCAGGCAGTGGCCAATGGAACAGCTTTAAGGAAAGCTTCTGCTAGGAGGATTGCAGATGACACACAGGCTTAAACAGTAGAGAGATTCCTTTGAGTAGAGAAATTAGTTTTCGCTTGCATTTAAAAGAAGTAATTAAATGACTGTTCTGGTGTCAAGATTGTTTAGATATACAGAAAATACAACTATTATTGACACATACCGCATATGGTTGATTAATGTTGTTGTTTCTCTGCCCTGCTTTTCTCTCCCTGCCCTGATTTTTAAATCTGAAGCTGTTCTTCCTTACATATTAATTGAAACATCCAGAATTTGCACCTTGTTTTGGTTTCTGTTTGGCTAGTGATCCTACAGGATGCAGTTGCAGCATCATGTAAGATAGTGGGATGCCAAACAGAAATTTTATTGGCAGGTGTTGAAAAGTTGTGTGTAAATAATATTTCAACATCTTTTCAAGGCAGCATGGCTAAACCCCGATGACTTAGCTGGATTCAGTAGTTGAAAACCATTGACTCTGTATTGTTGATAATTAAGAGTAGCCACAAATACGTTATCACACTTGCCGTTTCTTCATTCTGTGCATTGATTGTTCATTCACACATATTGAAATTGTTATGAATGCCCTGGGATAATCTGCTAATTCTAATTAGGTAAATGTTGGAATGTTATATCATCTTTTCCTGATGCATCAAGATTAAGACTACTTCTGAGCAGCCTCTGCCAAAATTGCATTGTGGATGTGGCAAATTTCTGTTTTACTGTTCTTAAATTCCAATTTTTTTTAAATGGCGTATAACCTATGGGCTACCAAACTTTAAATAAACTAAACTATCATAGGGATGTGTTGCTTTTTCTTTGCTTTTGTCAAGAAATTCAAGGCTTGAACCATCAACTGGTACGTAGTAGGTGCTGGCATACCCAGATGCATGGGTCTGTGTGTGCTCATGCTTTGTAACCCTTTTCAAGTGTAGGAGGGAAAGGGGGTGTTCAGTATCAGCCTGCATGCAAGGTTGGCAGGAAGGATGAAGCCTCTAATTGGCCCTACTATAAATATTAGGAGCTTAGCCTTCTCTCTCTTCCTGCTTAACAGAACAGTCCCTCCTGCCTGCTACCCTCCAGCCTCCAGTTTCAGCAAATGGACTCTGATGAGAAAGTTTATTGATAAGTTTAAGAAAAACTTGGGGAAGACATAGCAAGGTAATAGTAAGAAGAAGAAAAGAGAAGAGATTGGATTTATACCCTGCCCTTTACTACCTGGAGGAGTCTCAGAGTGACTTACAATCTCCTTTCCCTTCCTCTCCCCACAACAGACACCCTGGGAGAGAGGGCTGAGAGAGCTCTCTCAAGAACTGCTCTTGAGAGAACAGCTCTGAAAGAACTTATGACTGACCCAAGGTCATACCAGCAGCTGCATGTGGAGGAGTGGGGAATCAAAACCGGTTCTCCCAGATTAGAGTGCGCACTCTTAACCACTACACCAAACTGGCTCTAGTGTGTGATAACGGGAGTAATCCATTCGACCTTGGTGACTTCCCAGTTGCCCAAGAATAATTCAGTACACAGTATAAGTTGTACTTCTTATATAGTAGCACTGGAAGAAGCAAGGATATACAGACAGGTTTGGGCCACTGCTATGTCATGATTCACTCAGTCCTATGTAGCTCTTTATGCAGGATGCAAAATCAGTTAGATGGACCATAAGGGATCTTGAGTGGAGCTATGTAGGGTGCCCCATGATGGTGTCCACTTCTCTT